AAGTTTTTTTTTTTTTTTTTTTTTTTTTTTTTTTTTTTTACACCATGCAGCATGCTTGTTGATTGAAGAGGAGAGTTAAAACCTTGAAAAAGTTTTCTGTTCTCCATCCAGATGCTATGAACATCCAGATAACGGGCTGGATTTTTCACTTTTGGATGATGTTTGATCCTTGTGCAATGCTAAAAATAGACAGAAAGCAATATACTATTGTTGATTTTTTAAAATGATATGATGTCTGGGATTCGCTTCCAAATAATATAGGATGGAAAATATAGATGGGAGTATAATTGAAACAAGATTGTCTATAGGTTGATAATTGTTGAAGCCGAGTGATGGTATGTGGAGGTTCATTATATTACTCCAGTTTAGCTTATGTTTGAAATTTTCCATAATAAAAAAATTAAATCATACTACTTCTCCCCACCTTCACCGCTACCACTCTGCTACACGCTGCCCTATCTCTCATCTGGACTGGTGCAATAGCTTCCTAACTGAACTCCCACTTCTCCTCCCACTGTTACTCCCACCCTCTGCTTTTAATCTAATTTTCCATCAGCAGCTGGTGTGACTGATCCTGGGGGGCGGGGGGCGCGGTTAAAAGATGACCAGTAAGGGATCTCAACCCTTGGCTTGGTGTTGTCAGCACTACGCTCAGCCAGTGAGCGAACCGGCCATCCCTATATAGGATCCAAACCCATGGCCTTGGTGTTATCAGCACCTCACTCTCCTGAGTGAGCCACAGGCCAGCCTGTGACTGATCCTGTTAAAATGAAAGTCAGACCACATCCCTCCTCTGTTTGAAACTCTCTGATGGCTCTGCATTTCATTCAGCATAAAGCCAGAGTCTTAACAGTAGTCTTCAAAACCCTGCACCATTTGCCTCCTGCTCTTTACAACTCAAACCTCATCCCTTCTACACTTCCCCCTTGATCATTCCATTTCAGGCACACTGATGTTCCTCGAACCCACCAGGCATGCTACCACCACAGGACCTTTGCACTTGCTGTTCCTTCTGCCATGAATGATCCTTTTCCCTATTATACACATGGGGGAATAGCTCACGCTTCACCTCTTCATGTCTTTGCTCAAATATCTCCTTTTCAGGTAGGCCTTCGCTAACCACCTCATGTAAGACCAAACACCTAAACACACACACACACACACACACACACACACGGGAACTTTTAACCCCTTTCCCTCCTTTATTTTTCTGCTTATTACTAATCACCATCTTATTCACTATAATTTTACTTATTTATTCATAATTTTACTTATTTATTCTCTTTACTGTCTGTCTCCACTACCAGAATGTAAGGCAGGGAGTTTTGTCTGTTCCCTGCTATATCTCCAGCATCTGCCCGGCACACAGTATGTGCTCAATACGTATTCATTGAATGAATGAATGAACGCATGCATGAATGAGTGAATGGCATGCTGAGATTCAACCCCTGCCCACCTGTTCAGGTACATCTCTCACCTCTCCCCTCCTCACCCTTCCTGCCAAGGCACTTTGAACACCTGAGTCCCTGGCACACAGCAGGATCATTCATGCGTCTCAGCTTCTACCCATGCTTTCCCTCTTCCTCCTGGCCCCATTCCCAGTTGCTAAGACTCATCTCAAGCAGGTGTCTGCTGACACCACATATACCCAAAAGCAATTCTTCTGCCTGGTTTCCCACCAGGTTTCTTTGCTCTTTTTTCTACCAGACACACATCACATTGGACTCTCAGAGTCTCTTTTCTTATTTGTCTTCTCCATTGCTCTGGGAGTGCCTTCGGACAGGAACTTCATCTTATTTTGTCTTCTTAGCACAATGTCAGGCACCCAGTAGGCGCTTACTATATGTTTAGTGAATGAAACAATAATACTTGCATTTACTGAGTGCTTTCTCTGCTCAATAAATATTGTCATGATTAACCTGCACGACAACCGTATTGGGTGGGTATTATTATTAAACCCACTTATGAGTAAAGAGTGTGATGGTCAGAAAGGTTAAGAATCTGATAAAGGGCTGACTGGAATTCAAGTCTGTCCAGCTGGACTCTAGAGTTCTCACTCCTTACCCATATTATGAGCAAGTCTCTTCTCTTTCTCAGCCTCAGTTTCCCTACAACAAGTAGGAGCAGCTGGACTGATGATACATCTAACTTCAACCTACTGGGCAAGTTGCCTCCTCTAGGATCAAACTCAAGCCAATTTCAGTTTCCCAACGTCATAAAACAGAAACTCTAAAAATTGAGAATCGAAACCAGAAGTGGTTGGCTGGATGCCAGTCCTGTTAAGGTCGCTCCAGACCCTCCAGCCTCAGCCCAGTGTCCTCTTCACCCTTGCCACAGCAAGGCGTCTCCAAGAAGGGGAGCCCCAGGTTAGTTCAGTCACCCCTGAATTTCTCTCTTCTCCAGTCCTTTATCCCACAGGGGGCTGGAAGTCAGCTTAGGAGGGGCCTCCTTAAAAAAGGGGTGAGTCCCAGGAGGTGGGTGAGTGCATGGTTACATATCTGTCTCCTAGTGGTACTCTCAGGACAGAGATGGCAATGGCCCTGGATCTGTATGACATCCCAGCCTCCAGGCTGGACTCTTTCGTGGCTCAGTGGCTGCAGCCCAGGCGGGAGTGGAAAGAAGAGGTGCTGGAGGCTGTGTGGACCGTGGAGCAGTTCCTGCGGGAGGAGAACTTCCAGGGGGAGCATGGGCTGGACCAGGTGCAGGTACTGAAGGTGGTCAAGGTGAGAGTGGGCCCCTCCATCCCGCGCCAGGGCAGGGCAAAACCCAGCATGGGAGTCCATGTCACTGAGGATACTGGGGAACGCTTGCCTTGTTATCCCCAGTGCACGCTGCTGGCACCTCAGGACACCCACCTAATTGTCTACACCCCACCTAGCTGTCTACACCCCACCCACTGCTGCCTTGAGCGGAACAGGTCCAGTTGAGGAAGCTAACAATAGCTCCCATTTTGGGGTGCACTAGCCTAATTCCTTAACATATATTTGTCTCTATTCTTGCACCTTGTGAGGTACGTACTATTCTTTTCCCATTTTACAGTTTAGCAAAGGCTCAGAGGCTTAACATTCTTAATGACAAAATGCAACGCAAGGTCTTTGATTGGGTCCTGGTATGAATGAACTATCTGTAAAATAGTTTGGGGACAATTGGGAAAATTTTAATACGGCCTGGATAGGTGTAGTTTTGTGGTTATTAAAGAGAATGTCCAATTTTATTTCTTTTTTCTTTCGCTTTATTTTCTTTGTTGTTTGTCTGTTTTTACAGTTTTTTTTTTTCTTTTCTCTTTCTTTTTTTTTGGCGGCTGTTCCTTCAGGTATCCTAACCCTTGACCTTGGTGCTATAACACTGTGCTCTAATCAACAGAGCAACAGGCCAGTCTTTTTTTTTTTTTTTTTTTTTTTTTTTTTAAAAAAAGACAACCCTTGTGTGGAGAGCTAACTCTCAGTAGATCGCAAGGAGGGAGCAGCTCTGCCAAGCACGAATCCCAGCCCAGAAGCAGGTCGACTACAGCGGTTAGGCACCAGGTTCCCCATGCATGACGGACGGGACGAGGGACCGGCCCCTTTTCCGGCCGGCCGTTTCCCAGAACAGAGGGCACTCGCGCCCGACCCCTTCCCCGCGCAGCGACGCGCGTCGCGTGGTCCCAGCGGCCCCCGGCTGGGTCAATTTTATCAAAATGTTTAATTTTAATAAATGTTCATATGACCTGGATATTGGATAATATAAGGGAATTATTGGTGTCATTTTGTGGTTCTAGGGGAAAATGATCTCTCTTTTTTTGGACACAAAGGTTAAAGTATTTAGGAACAAATTTCCTTAGTGTCTGAGATTTACTTTAAAGTGGTTTACACAAAACAAATGTGGCAAGGAGTTTAGACTTGTTGAATCTAACTGCTTGGGTATATCAGTGTTCGTTATATTTTCCTTCTTTTTTTCTATATGTTTTAATTTTTTGATAATAAAAAATTTTTAATAGAGGCTCAGAGAGGGAAGGTGACTTGTCCAAGGTCACACAGCTAATGCTGGAGATGGGAGTTGAACCTGACTCCACAGCCAGGGATCCAGGCTGTCCCACTGAGATTTTTCCCTAAGTCTTTCCGCAAGCTGCCTTATGCCCTCTCCTGTACCAGCTAGGATCAAAATTCAAGAGGGTCAGGGCTACAAAGGCCCTGTAGAATCAGACATTCTCAGCCAATTCCACACATAAACATTCAGGAAACTGAAGCACGGAGGTGAGAGACGTCCCAAGGTCACATGGCAAGTTAGTGGTAAAGGTGAGACTAGAATTAGGACTCCTGACTCCCAGCCCAGTGCTCTAGTTTTCTCTCTAGGGGCAACCAACGCAGGGAAGGATTTATTTTATTTATTTATTTTTAAATTTTTTTATGTCTGGAGAATGAAAATTTTATTTGAATTTGAGTGACTTCATCAAAATTCATAAAAGACATGAAATGGTTTCCATTTCAGGCAGGAAAGGAAAAGTAGGAGGCACATAATTTTGGCTAAATTTACTCAAAAGAGAACCTGGAAGCCCTTTGTATCTCTAACGAAATGTCACTGGAGGTAGGGTATCCAGGGACATTTCTCCAATATAAGTTAAAATAGTCCCTGCTAATACAAAAGCCTTTTAGAAAAGACCTTACCATTTATTTGATAAAATACTATGTTTAAATATGGTTACAGTCACAGATTATTAGTAATTGATGAGCAGGGAAGGATTTAGAAGACTCATTCCCCAGTCCCTTCTTTGCATCCATCCCAGCATCTAGAGCCTGAGGCCGTATGATTTAGAAGTGGGAAGCCACAGATTTTGACATCAGACAGACCTGGGTTTGACTCTTGGCTTCTTGCCTTACTAGCTGTGTAACCCTGACTTCACTACCTTATCTGTCAAACCCTCAGTCTTCTCATCTGTAATTGGGGTATAACCACCATCATCACCATCATCAACATTCCTCCCTTACCAAGCAAATGGGGCAATGCAAGCTAAGTGATTAGTGCATGGTAAAGTTCAAAAACAGAAGCATCATTGTCATTTTTGCTCAAGCTTTCTTCTGGGCATGGGACACCAGTCTGACTCAGGCAGACCCTTCCAGACAACCCCTCCCCAACAAGCCTGAGAATGAAGTAGATGGAATGGGGGAGGTCTGGGATGAGGAGGATGCCACAAACTAAATGAGTTTTGGTGGCAGGTAATGAAACTTACCAAAACCACAAGCTCTTCCTGCAGACTGTCGCCACTTCTCTCCCTGAAATTACTAATTGATAGATGTACCCAAAGAGCAATAACCAATGAGAAATAATAGATTTCATTTAGACCCTAACTCTCTTTTCCTCCCACCTCCTGAAAATCTGGTGAGCTGAGCTGGCTCACATGAGTAAATGCTTGTCTTTGAATGAATTGGGCTTAAATGGGTTCAAACCAAAGAAAGTCATGAAGCCTGTTCTGGATTGTTCTTTCCTCTCCATCTGGATCTTACCACTGGGAAAGGCAGAAAGGGTAGTCTAGACAGAACCTTTAGGGGGATGTGCCCTTTACCCACTCACAGGGTGCCATCCCCAAGCCCCCCTCATGTGAGGTAGGATGCCTAGTCTGAATGCCATTGGGAAAAGAAAATAGAAAAGGAACAGGAAGAAAAGATGGTGAGTCCCCTCTTCCTCAGAAGCAGAGCCTGACTCATACACTCGGGTCACAGAGAAGAAAGAGGGGGAAGAACCACCCAGTACTTGTGTCTGATTCTTCATCTGACTCAGCCGCCTCCTGGCTAGGAAACTGTGGCAAGTTGATTAACCCCACACTGCCTCAGTTTTCTCATCTGTACATTGGGGATAATTATCACAGTACCCACCTCAGGCATGGGTGTGAGGATTAAAAGAGATGACATGCATAGTGGGCTTTCAGTGGTGCTGGACCCAGGGAGGGGTCAACCTGTGACAGCTGGATTATAATTCCTGTGCAGTGACTCCACCCACCAGGAAAGGTAGCCCACCTGAGGTCTGTCGCTTCCCTAGCAATTCCACCTCCTGACTCGGAGTGAGAAAGACGAGAGGCCAGAGAGTTGTGGGCTTTGTATACCAGAGGCAACAGGGCCTGGAGAGCGAGTCTAGAATCTCAGCGCATCCAAAAGGCCCCTTCGAAACCATCCAGCTCAGGCTCCTTCCATTACAGATGGGGAAACCAATGCCCGGGTAGCAGAAGGGATTGTCGAAGTCAACTAGATAAAGAGGAGGAAGAGAAATATACTGCTGACTTCCTGTGTGTCAGGCACCACGCCAAGCCCTTGGCATATATTATTTTTTCTACTCCTCCCAGTAACCCAGTGACTCATGGTTCCTCATTACGCTCATTTTACAGAGCTCATTTTAGGACTCAGAATGATCATACAACTAAGAAACAGGGGCAAGAGTCAAGGTCAAAGTCAGGCTGCCCCATTCCACAGCCTATGTCTCTTATCCATCAGGTAAACCCACTCCCACTTTCTAATGTCAAGAAATCACTCAGACCCCTCCCAGAATCCTCCACAACCCTATGGAATAGACATTACTGTTCATTTGGAGTTGGCATGCTCTGCAGATGAGAAGACTGAGTCTCAGGAGCAATGCAGTGTTGCATATAAGGAGACTGGGCCCTGGAGTCAGGCTACAAACTGTGAGACCCTGGGCAAGTGCCTCACCCTCTTGGCATCTCAGTTTTCTCATCTGCAAAGGGGGGATATTAGTACTACCCACCCATCCCTCAGGGTAGTGGTGAGCATCAAATGAGATAATTTGTGTGAAGCACCACAGGGGTTGCCTGGTACCTGGCAGTGGGCCGCAGGATGATGGGGGGCTCTGTGTTCTGCAGGTAGGCTCCTTCGGGAATGGCACAGTGATCAGGGGTGCCACAGACGTGGAGCTGGTGGTGTTCCTGAGTTGCTTCCACAGCTTCCAGGAGGAGGCCAAATACCACCAAGCCATTCTGAGGCTGATGTGGGAAAAAATGTGGCGTTGCCAGGACCTGCTGGCCCTTGGGCTCGAGGACCTGAGGATGACCCAGGAAGTCCCCAGTGCTCTTGTCTTCACCATCCAGACCCGGGGAATCACGGAGCCCATCACTGTCTCCATCATGCCTGCCTACAGGGCTCTAGGTAAGAGGAGGGGAAGCCCACCCCACCCACACATTTGCCCTCTCCAGGAGACCTGCAGCTCCCCCATCCCTCATTCATGGCCACGTGCAGACATCTGCATGCATTTTTTCCACCCATGCCCTGTAATGGAGGCTGGGCTACTGCAGCCGTCTTTCATTTATCATCTTTCATTCTTTCATTTATCAAAGAATTGCACATGTAAACATACGATCGCAGATAAGTGGTAGTAAGTGCTCAGATGAAAAGAACAGGTGCCCTGGGAGACCACAGTAAGGGTGCTCAGGAAGGGACTTTCTGTGGAAAGGACGTTCGGGAGGAGCTGAGACCCAGTGAGGGGAAGGAGCTAAAGCAGTACCTATGAGCGCCTCTTACCATGTAGCGTGTGCTGTGGGGGCTGGGGCCTGTCATTGTCTGGGTTTTCCCAGAGGCAGACCCTGAGACAGGATGTGAGGACAAGCAGTTTATTTAGGAGGTGATCCCACGAAGCACTGGTAGGGAAGTGGGGAATTGGAACAGGGAAGGAAAGAATTTAATACAAGGTGTATCACCAAGCAGGTCACCAGTCTGGGCAACTGGGCTTCATGCCCCTGCAGAAATCGAAGTCACAACATAGAGCATGCCTCTTCATTATTGCAAGCAGGATGCTGAAGTGTTTATCCATCAACCTCCCATCAGTCATTGGCTGAGGACTCACTGGCACTTGTTTGTCCTCAAGCAGAGAGTCCTGTGTGTTTGAAATTACCTGTATTTGCTACAGGCCCAGATGATATAGGTTTCATCTCATGTGCCAACTCCTATGAACTGTAATGGTGGTCTGGAGTTGCTTTGTGGACAGATATCAGAGATGGGATCAAACCTGAGCAGGAAAGAGAGCTGGGATGTATTAGTGATGCGTACTCACAGGGCTTCTCCCCTGTGAATATTGAGAGGTCCCAATAAATCACTCAGACAGAGATCCAAAATGTACCTTAAATAAAACTGGTGGCATTGGAGACAGCCAGGGAGCACAACAGTTCTTGAGTGGCCCAAGACATTAAAAGCCCAATGTGGGCTGTCCCGGTAAGAATCTCACAAGGACAATCCAGCAAGGCCAGCCTTTGGTTTCTGAGGATATGAGGTCTCAAGTCTCCCTGGAGAGACAACTCCAATGAATGAGCGGGCTCTCCCTGAAGGACCACTTATCACCCCGGGGCTACCTAATCCCCAAACACTCCCTTTGCTTCCTCTCTCCTCAGGGCCTTCTGTTCCCAGCTCTCAGCCACCCCCTGCGGTCTATGTGAATCTGATCAAGGCCTACCGTTACCCTGGAAATTTCTCCCCATCCTTCAGTGAGCTGCAGAGAAACTTTGTGAAACATCGGCCAACTAAGCTGAAGAGCCTCCTGCGGCTGGTAAAACACTGGTACCAGCAGGTGAGGGGCAGCCAGGACGGGAGCAGGAGAGAGGTGGAAGGAGGGGAGGAAAGGCAGGGGCCAGATGTATCATCTCAGGAAACTGCATCCAGGGGCGATAGAAGGGGGAAGAGGGGTTGAATGCTGGTCTTTTGAACTATAAAGTGAAACAATCAGTGAAGAACATGGAGAAGAAGAGAGAGAGAAGGGAGAGGAGAAAGAGAAGCAGAGAAGTAAGGAGAAAAATAGGTAATGTACAGTATTTCAGTGAACAAGTGCTTGAACAAGGTTTCGGATTCCCTACAGGCCAGCAATCAAAAAAAAAAAAGTGCTTGTAAAGTTCCAGGTACAGTCTAGTATTGGCTAATGTCAACTTCACTGAGTGCTCTGGACATTAATCACAGCAGGTTAAGGCTAAACAAGAGGAACGATTTGTTTAATTCCACCCTGCACCAATCTCCCTCCAAATAGATTGAGTTCCTGAGTAACATGATCATTATCGAGTGAACATATCTACAGTAACTACTTTTTACGTTTCACAAGTGATGTCTGCATGGTGCCAAGTGTATTTCAAAATATCCAGGGCCGGCCTGGTGGCGCACTGCTACAGTGCGCCGCTTGGGAAGCGCGGTGGCGCTCCCGACGAGGGTTCGGGTCCCACATACAGACCGGCCACTCACTGGCTGAGCAAGGTGCGGGAGCAACACCGAGGGTTGCAATCCCGTTGCCGGTCCCGGTCCGGTATGGGCGCAACACTGAGGGTTGCATCTGATGCTGGTCACGAAAAAAAAAAGACAAAAAAGGAAAAAAAAAAAAAAAATCCAGATAAATAGAGTCATCAAAACTTATGAAAGGAGGACTCAGAAACTGGTCCGGTATGGGCGCAACACTGAGGGTTGCATCTGATGCTGGTCACGAAAAAAAAAAGACAAAAAAGGAAAAAAAAAAAAAATCCAGATAAATAGAGTCATCAAAACTTATGAAAGGAGGACTCAGAAACAAACACAAAAATTACAAGGAAAGAAATGGTGTTTTCTTCTTTAAAAAAAGTAGTAAAAGAGTCAGATTTTGGAAAGACTGGCTTAGTTTTAAAAAGGGGGAAGGAGAAGTATTAAAAGAGATTAAAACCACAAAGTTACCAGACTGTTCATGATGGGAAAACAGCAACTTTCTCACGGTTGTCACATCAACAAAGATTGACATATCTTCAGATATCAGCATTGTCAAAGCCAAGGACGAAGTTGTGTTTTTTGATGGTAAGTCAGTAACTTAGGGAAAATGATCAAGGTTTTGAGTATTTGGAGAACTAGAACTAAATAGTATGATTTGTTTGTTCCTTTTTGTTTGTCTGTTTCTTTGTTTCAGCACAAAAATCGTTTTTCCTCCTGCATATGATATGCACATTTATGAGTATTTGTAATTTCCACAGAACAATATATCAGTTTTACTTCTATAGTCTACCCTTTTACTCAAGTCTCTGACCCTAAAACAAGGATTTCACCACGTATGGGTTTTTGGGTTTTTTTAGTTTACACATAATAATTGCACATATTTATGGGGTACAATATGATCTTTGGATACATGTATATAATGTATAATAATCAAATCAGAATAATTAATATATCCATCGTTTCAAACATTTGTCATTTCTTTCCTTTTTTTTTTTTTTTTTTGTGACCGGTAAGGGGATCGTAACCCTTAGCTTGGTGTTGCCTGCACCACGCTCAGCCAGTAAGCGCACCAGCCATCCCTATATAGGACCCGAACCTGCGGCTTCGGTGCTCCCAGCGCCACTGCGTTCCCGGTGCCGCACTCTCCCAAGTGAGCCACGCGTTCGGCCCAAACATTTGTCATTTCTTTGTGTTGGGAACATTCAGAGTTTTCTCCTCTAGCTATTTGAAGTTACACAATAAATTATTGTTAACTATAGTCACCCAATAATGCTATAGAACTCTAAACTTTATTGCTCCTATCTGGCCTTAATTTTGTATATGTTGGCCAACCTCTTCTTATCCCCCACGCCACACTTTCCAACCTTTGCTAACAGCTATGCTACTCTCTACTTCTACAAGATGGATTTTTTTACCTTCCACATATGAGTAAGAACATGTGGTATTTATCTTTCTGTGCCTAGCTTATTTCACTTAACATAATGCACTCCAGATTCATCCAAGTTGCCACAAATAATGGTGTATCATTCTTTTTTATGGCTGAGTAGTATTCCACTGTGTATATATACCACATTTTCTTTATCCAGTCATCTGTCAATGGGCACTTAGGTTGAATCCATATCTTGGCTATTGTGAATAAGTGCTACAATAAACATAGAAATGAAGATGTCTCTTTGTTATGCTAATTTCCTTCCTTTGGATAAATACCCAGTAGTGGGATAGCTGGATCATATGGTAGTTCTATTTGTAGTTGTTTGAGAAATTGCTATACTGTTTTCCATCATGGCTGTACTAATTACATTCCCACCAACAATGTACAGTGGTTCCCTTTTCTCTGCATCCTCGCCAGCATTTGTTATTTTTTGTCTTTTTGATAAATAGACATTCTGGGGTGTCATGATATCTCACTGTGATTTTGATTTGCATTTCACTGATGATTAGTGATGTTTTTCATATACTTGTTGGCCATTTGCATGTCTTCTTTTGGGAAATGTCTATTCAGTTCATTTGCTCATTTTTTTTATTGGATTATTTGATTTTTTGCTGTTGAGTTGTTTGAGTTCCTCGTATATTCTGGAGATTACTCCCTTGTTATATAGTTTGCAAGTATCTCTCTCATTCTGGAAGTTGTCTCTTCACCCCATTGTTTGGTTTTCTTCTGTTCTGATTTTTGCTGTGCAGAGCTTTTTAGTTTGATATAATCCCATTTGTCTATTTTTGCTTTTGTTACCTGTGCTTTTGAAGCCTTATTCATAAAATCTTTGCTGAGATGTCCTGAAGCATTTCCCTTATGTTTTTTTCTAGTAGTTTCATAGTTTGGGGTCTTACATTTAAGTTTTTAATCCATTTCGAGTTGATTTTTATATCTAGTGAGAGATAGGGGTCTAGTTTCACTCTTCTGCATGTAGATATCCATTTATTGAAGAGACTGCCATTTCCCTAAAGTATTTTCTTGGTGCCTTTGTCAAAAATCATTTGGCTGTAGATATGTGGGTTTTTTTCTGGGTTTTCTATTTTGTCTCATTGGTCTGTGTGTCTGTTTTTGTGCCTGTACCATGCTATTTTGATTATTATGGTTTTGTAGTATATTTTGGGGCAAGTGTGAGCTAACAATATAATGCCCACCAAACGGAAAGGTATCCTGAGACCAAAGAACCAAGCAGGCAACTCCATATGGTTTTCAAGGAGTTTATTGGTGTTATCATTTTATTATTATTGTTGTTGTTGTTGTTGTTGTTGTTGTTGTTGTTGTTGTTGTTGTTATTGTTGTTGTTGTTGTTGTTGTTGTTGTTGTTGTTGTTGTTGTTGTTGTTGTTGTTGTTGTTGTTGTTGTTGTTGTTGTTGTTGTTGTTGTTGTTGTTGTTGTTGTTGTTGTTGTTGTTGTTGTTGTTGTTGTTGTTGTTGTTGTTGTTGTTGTTGTTGTTGTTGTTGTTGTTGTTGTTGTTGTTGTTGTTGTTGTTGTTGTTGTTGTTGTTGTTGTTGTTGTTGTTGTTGTTGTTGTTGTTGTTGTTGTTGTTGTTGTTGTTGTTGTTGTTGTTGTTGTTGTTGTTGTTATTATTATATTGGTGGGTGGTTACTTACTATTAGTATCAATCCATCTGAGTGCTATGCAGATGCTTTCTCCACAGGAGGGGGAGAGCTGAGGCTTATATGGGACTTAGAGACAAAAGTGGAGCTATGCCGAAGAGAGAAAGGCTGCAGAAGTGCAAGATTCCCAGGCACTCCATAGCCTCCTGTCACTTATCTTTGGGGTTACTCGTGTCACTCTCTTTATCTTACAAGCATAGCATTCTGTTACTGTCCCTCCCACAGTTGCTAAGTGACTTATGCAGGGAAAAAATTGTAACTGTTGAAACTAGAGCCCTAAAGCCACAAGGATGAAATGAGTTTTGACCAGTGCACTTTTCTCTTGGTCCTGGGGGTCTCAGGAGGCAGGACTACACGCAGCCTCTGTCAGGAGTCCCTCAGGGAGCAGGGCCACAGGAAGCCATGCCAAGAGAGTACAGCAAGGTGAGTTGCTCAAGGCACGCCTTGAGCTAGGGGCTGCCTCCTGGGGAGGTGGGCAGCCAGAAACCAGACACAAAGTTCAGTGGCTTAGCACATGCACTAAGCAACTTTATTGGGTACAGGCATGTATTATATATGTTCTATCCAACTGTAAACCCCTTCCATGCCTCCCCATCTCCTAGGTAACTCAGTAGGAAGTCTGGTTTGTGGTTAAGCTTTGAGAATTTTTGCTGACTCAGTCTATTTGCATTTCTGCTGACACAGTCTAAATCCTAGAGAGCAAGAGTGCCTCTGTCTTTAACAGGTGTTCTCCTTCATTTCCCTCCAGACCAGCATTCCTACAATTTTGAAGTCGTAGTATGATGCCTCCAGCTTTATTCTTTTTGCTCAGGATTGCTTTGGCTATTCAGGATCTTTTGTGGTTTCATATGAATTTTAGGATTGTTTTTTCTATTTCTGTGAAGAATGTCATTGGTAGTTTCACAGGGACTGCATTCAATCTGTAGATCACTTTGGGTAGTATGGTCATTTTAATTATATTGATTCTTCCAATCCATGAGCATGGGATGTCTTTCCATTTTTGTGTGTCCTCTTTAATTTCTTTCATCCGTGTTTTTTTTGTTTTTGTTTTTTAAAAAGATGACCAGTAAGGGGATCTTAACCCTGGACTTGGTGTTGTCAGCACCACGCTCAGCCAGCGAGCTAACCGGCCATCCCTATATGGGATCCGAACCCAGGGCCTTGGTGTTATCAGCACCACACTCTCCCGAGTGAGCCACGGGCCAGCCCCATCTGTGTTTTAATAATTTTCTTTGTAGAGATCTTTGACCTCCTTGGTTAAAT